TCAGGGGCAAACCCTGAAATTCCCAAATAAGAAATGTGGATCCTCTGGGCTTTGATATGGAGATCCCTCAGTGGGGTCTCAGAGAAAGCAGAATTCTCTGAGAGGGTGCCTTAAATTTGGGATTTCATACCTGGCAAACACAGTATGAATTACATGGCTTTTGAGCACATGAGGAAAAGCAAACCTTGGAATTCTCAGAGGTTAAATCAGAGGCTGAAGGTGCTTTGCCATTTTGGGAGGTTCTGCCAACACCATGCATTAAGGGCAGAGAAGTGTTGATTTTAAGCTGAACAATGCAGGATAATTCTTAAAAAGAATAATTTGCTTCTGCTCCAAGTGGTTGAGCAAGCAAACACAGCAAAACTTCCATTTCTCCAATTCCCTGAGGAGAAATGGAAGTTCTCTCTCAGGCCAGAGGAGTTTCATCAAGAGCGTGGTATCAATGTTAACGTGCTCTCCAGAAGAGGAAAACACTATTTTCTGGCAGGCACTTTAATATATTTTTCAAACTACTTGGCTGGTTTGCACATTTAAGTACTATTGGATCCAAAGTTATGCCAAAATTAGGCACATATCAGAAAATAAAAATGAAGAGAGAGAACAGGCCTGCAAGAGAGAAAGGCAACAGGTCACAATTCAGTGCCTGTTTTGAACTGAGAGATTTGTCAGACAAATATGAAGACAATGGGAAATGAAACCAGCTCAATAATTTTGTACAATACAAAATTTGCATGCAAACCTCTCTTAACACTGCTCCTTCAGTCACAAGGGCAGGGAATCAATAGGCTGGAAGAGGAGTGAGTCAACACCAGTAAATAAAAATATTCATCCCTTGGCATTTTGAAAAAAACCCCACAGATGTCACATCTAGGCAATTACCGGGCCTCAAAACGGACCATGCTGCAAATGGGAATGAGAAATGGCATTTACTTACCCATAGTTTTCATAACATATGCAGATATTGTGTAGTGTGTGTCAAATGCCATTTGGCTCAGCAGAATCTAATTAATCTCAGCTCTTTGCACCAGTGTGCGGTGGGGAACACCTTCTGTGGCTGTGCTTGGCTGAAGAATCTTTCATTCCTCCTGCTTTGATTCCCTGGTTGTTGTGAGGCCTGGCTCAAGGTGAACACCAACAGGATCCCTCGCAACACTCCAGTTCCATCCACCAACATTCCAGTTCCCAAATGGAAGGGGGGTAGCACAGAGCTCCCTCTGATTCCCAGAAGAGCTCAGAATCTCCTGCAACCAGGCTTTAATGGGAGAAATTGGATTTTCTTTTCCATGACTGTTCCACAGCAGAGAGCCCAGCTGCCTAAAATGAAGTTAGAGCCATGCCTGCCATGATTTCATTTTCCAGCAGACAGGCATTGTTGGCATCTTCCTGGAGTCCTGGGCTTGGAGTCAAAAAAATGGGAATGACTGCACTGGTTCCTGGGCTTCTGCATCAGGAAAAGGAGTTTTATCTCTCAGAAAGATGTCGTGACTTAGGAATGCACGTGGGCTCTTCATTCACCTCAGCACATTTTAAAAACAGCCCAGTGTCACTGCATGTTCTTCCTGAGGATCTTTGATAAGCCCCAAATCCTGTGGAAGAGTTAAACTGTGCAATAGAAATACTTAATAGAAATAGTTAAACTGTGCAATAGAAATACTTAATAGAAAGAGTTATACTGTGCAATAGAAATAGTTAATAGAAAGTTAAACTGTGTGATAGATATACATAGCAGAAAGAGTTAAACTGTGCAATAGAAATACTTAATAGAAAGAGTTAAACTGTGCAATAGAAAGAGTTAAACTGTGAATTTCTAACTGTTAGAAATGCAGGTGGTTTTAACTCATCAATGAAAAAAGGAACTTGTGAATTTAAGTTGTCCCACAGAAGGTCTTTGGGAAGTTCTCGTTTTTCTTACAGTGATGAGCAAAATCCTTGAATAACCTAAAATAGACACCCAACCCAAAAAAACAGTAATTTGGAGAGGCGGGATACACTGCTTTCCATCCCTTCCACTTGGCACCAAAAATGTTCAGCTACTCAAATCAACTTTCAAGAATTTAGGAGTAATAAATCATGCTACAGTTAATTTATTTAGGATTTTCTCCTAAGTTAATTTTTATATTGTACTTAAGGGAAACCAAAGCATTTATTTGCAAGGCTCAGGAATGTCACATACAATTTCTGTTTCAACCCTATTTTAAAAGAAATAGCAATGTTTCACTTCTATTAAATTTAATTTAGGCAAAACAGCGAAGTTACAGGAACAGTTTTCACCACAATAACTCATTCTAGTGGTGAATGCCAGGCATGGCAGGAATCCTGAACTACAGATCTGAGTCCTTACCACATCTCAGGGCCAGGAAGGATTTTTGCTGCAGCTTTAAGAGAACTCCACTAATTTGTCTTTATAATTTGTCTTTTTTGTCTAATTTGTCTTTATAATTCATCTTCTAATTGCTGTAAAAGCTAAAATATCTCTGTAAATTATTGATTTTGAAATGCCTTATTGTCATCCCACGCCAAGAATTCAAATAAAAGCATGCTATAAGAAAACACAAGCCTTTACTTCTGCCCTGCTTGAGCTGAGATGTTTAATAAGCTAATACTGTCCCTGATACCAGATCACAGGGAGGTTTCCAGCAGATGATAAATAGTGGACTCTGAGCAGATTTATTTTGCTGTCATAATTCTAGAATGTGTCACTAACAGTTGCTGTATTTAGAGCTAATTTTGTCTTTATCTCTCACAGCTGCCCTACCTCTCTGTTTACATGAGAAGAAAGAGATTTTAATACTAAAGAGAAAGGTAAAGTAGCAATGAAATGCTTTCTCCAGGCAACAACTCTAAGTGTTTTAAAGACAGACCCCCATGGAAAGCTCCTATTTTTATCCTGCAAGAGTCTCCTCTGACAGCATCTCACAGTTTGAATCTAAGGAGCCACAAAGCACTTGAAAGAACTTTGCCCAGCTTTAGGGGAAAAAAAAAGGAGAGAGATACTTGGAAAACTGAAACTCATATTTTTTTGTTTTGTTTAAGAACACCTGAAAAATAACAGCTGACATATCACAACAGCAGCCCACAAAAAAACTCACTGCAGAGCAGTGGCTGCTAATCTGTGACGAGAAAGATGTGTTTAAAAGGAGCTTGATGTGTTTAAAAGGTACCTAAAGTGCTGTTTTCCTGGCTGTGCTCTCTGTAATTAGTTTGCTGATGTCACCTCCAGAATTCATCCAGAGCTGGAATGGGGCATCTCAGGGTCTGAGTGTCAAGATGACCCCGAGAGTGTAAAAGTCCTCGTTTTCCAGCCCTGCAGCCAGAGAAGGAGTCTGAATGTGCAGGATCAGCTTCTCAAGGCTGTTTATTTTCCCTTCTCTAGAACATTCTCTCTCTGCCCTGCTGAGCTCTGGCCAGCAGCTCTGCCATGGCATTCTGTCTGTCCTCAGGGCGGAGTTTGCATTTTATACCAAAAACTGCCTGTGCCATGGTTACAGTAACGTGCCAATATCTGTCATTTATGTTGGACAGTGTGTCTGTCCTTAAACCAAGAGAAAAGTGTCACCAGCACAGCAAGGCATGGAGGGCAAGGAGAAGGAGAAGAAGGTCAGGACATGCCCAAATCCCTCCATCTTGTCCCCTTGAACCCCATTCTTAAAACGCCAAAATTCTACTTTTTCACCCTTTGGTAATTCAGCTACCACACTACTCAAACCCTTGTGGTTTGTAATTCCTCACACAGAGTTGGCAGCTTTTTCCATGGGCTAAAATCAAAGCCACAGGTGTTTGTGACTTGGTGCCAAGGTCTGTGAGCCCCTGCCAGGGTCTGGGGGCAGCCAGAGGGATGTGCTGGGTCCCACAGGGACAGAGCAAATCCCAGCCCCTGAGTCACAGTGCAGAGGACCCACACACAGCAAACGCTCCTCTCCAGCCAGACAGGGATGGGAAATGGGAGGTAAAATTTGTCAGGAATGTGAAATCTTGAAAACATTACTGTACACTCTGTAAAAGCCATCAAAGGCACTGATTTGCCCCCGGGCATTGCAGAGGAGAGCCATACCCAGCTGCCAAGCACAGCATCCCAGGAACACCAGGAGCCAGGAGTAGGCTGTGAGCTCAGCTTTTATGGGAATTTCTAATGCTGGTCATCCAAACATGAACCCTCTTAAAATTATTTCAAGGAAGCAAAGGAAAAAATAAAAATTATATTGAAATTGCCTTAAGAAGCAAAAACAATTTACTTCAGTCATGGCCTGCCAGAAGTGATTTGCCCAAGTTCAATGGCTGGAAGTCTGTTTCACTCATTTATGCTCCTTTTGCCACAGCAATTGATGTCAAGTGTGAGCCATTGGAAAGTTTAGGAAGGCAGCAAACAAGCTGTAAACAAGTGACTGAGGGAGAGGGAAATGTTTTATGGCTGGCAGCTTGCATCAGGCTGGAGTGTGGTGTTTGGGAGTGCAGTGCAGTTACAGTGCACTCTGATTTATCGTGTTTATGGCAGCAATATTCGATGACTGTACAGTGTAAAGGAGTGTCAGCCCTGCATTACAATCGCTGTGCCGTGCTCCATCTGGGTGATTTACAGGAAAACACATTCTGTCATCAAGCTTCTTTCACTTTTTTCTTTTTTTCTCTTTAGGAAATCTGACTTGAGTTCTGTGTTAAATGATGATTGCTCACAAACTGGAAAGGGTGAACAATTGCGACTGCAACAGAAGCTGAAACCTTCAGGGACTTATAATTTTATTTTTGGTATGAAGCAATTTCACTTTTAGATGGATGTGCACAACTTGTAAGAGGAGAAGGAAACAAGGAACATGAGAAATGGAAGAGCTGGAACACAATGGGATCCAATATTCTGTGCTTTTGCTCAAAACAAAGATGAATAATCCGGAACCAAGAGGCAACATTAGCTTGCAGCAGGCAGTGTTATTAATGGAGTTAAATAAACTGCTGAACAAGAGGCATCCCCATGATAAACTGCAGGTAAATCAGAACACTAGGACTGCTTGGTTTATTAATTGGAGGCATTTTTATTTGGTTTTCCAGGCCACTGGTTTCTCTGGGAGCCTCTTGGAGTATTTTGAAGTGTGTAGTCCCCAATTTTAGCATGCTGAGTGGTCATAAAGCCAAGGATATCCATGTTGATGAACAGAGGAAGGTCTCTGTAGCAAATGGAAACAAAGGCTAAATGGAGGTGTCTGTTCATAGTTTATTTTTTTAATCAACAACAGAAGAGTTCCATTTAAATGAACCAGAAAAACAACTGGGGACCACTTCCCACTGAGCAGCAAATCTTCTGTGGGCAGGGAGAGCTCAAATCTTCCTGCTCTGGGAGAGAAGGAGAAGGAGAAGGAGAAGGAGAAGGAGAAGGAGAAGGAGAAGGAGAAGGAGAAGGAGAAGGAGAAGGAGAAGGAGAAGGAGAAGGAGAAGGAGAAGGAGAAGGAGAAGGAGAAGGAGAAGGAGAAGGAGAAGGAGAAGGAGAAGGAGAAGGAGAAGGAGAAGGAGAAGGAGAAGGAGAAGGAGAAGGAGAAGGAGAAGGAGAAGATCATTCCATTTGCATCAGTGAACCAACCTGCAAACATCTACAACCTGACCCAGGCAAATCATAGAGAGGTTTCTTATTCCTTTCTGTTTCTTGATGAAAACATACATGGAATTTGATGCTCTGACCCTCCAGAAATCTTCTCAGGGAATACACAGCCCATTTTCACATGGGTAGACTTACAGCTTCCACAGAGCTCTGAGTTTCTTTGAACACTGAATAAAAACTAAAAAAAGGGATAACTTGACACTCCAGTGCTTGAGAGAACTTGCTGCATTTGCACAATAAACAGCAGCTGGGAGCTGCTTCCCAAATAAATATTCAAAATTATTTAATTGACAAATGCATCTCTTAAAGGAGGGAGAGAACTGTCACTTCCTCCAAAAGGTGAAACCAATTAAAGTTTCCACTGTTTTTATCAGAAAAGAAAAACAATCCAGCAGCAGGAGTAAGGAGCAATTATAGGTATTTCATGACAAAAGAGGAACTTGACAAAAAAGAAAAAATAGCAGAAAATTTTTGTGAAAAAGTAAAGCACTTCCTCTTCCCTGGCAGGGAGAGTTTGAATTATGGCTGCAGTTTACAGGTCTTGTGAGTGGAATTGCTCCTTTATAACTGTGTTTTTTATAGCAAAGGGTGGTAAGAAGGAGCAAATTCACATTTCTGGGAATGGACAGAGGGAGGATAGGAGAGCCCATCCCTGCAAACAACAGATGAGGTGGGAAACATTTTTTGTTTCCAGCACAAAGGGCAGATGGACCATGGAGAACGGACTGGAGTGACCACTGTGTGATTCTCTGTTCCTACACAGTGCCATTGGCTTCACAGCATCTGAAGATACTAAAATAAAAATGTGTCTGAGTGACTCCTTTTTGAGCCTAGAATATAACATTTCAACTGGAAGAAACAAGTGTGGGGCTCTTTTAGTCTTCACTGTGTGTTCCCTAACTTGGAGTCAGCAAACCCTTATTTTTAAAGACATCTTTGTCTCCCTGTGTTAAGGAAACTGCTCAGTCTGATCATTCCTGAGAAGAAGGAGTTTCTCAAATACAAGATCCTCATTAGGAAAATATTTATTTTCCCCTGCTTTCTGAGAAAATGCATTTCATTGCAATTATATCCATACTGCAAGCAGTAGATGTGAGTAAAGATTAGGTTCCTGGAAGGCTGCTCTATAAACCCATCAGGATAAATTTGCTGGTAATGTTTTCTTGGATAGATCCTGTACAATTGCTATTTGTATTATGGTGGGATTAAGAGGCTCTCAGTTGGAGATCCATCATACTCGAGGCATGAAGTACCTGATAAGATCTCCGGTGGATTTTGTGGTTTTAATTGGGAAAAAAATAACTCCTATTAACATAGGACCATGGGAGGAGAAAACCAAAAAGGTATTTGGCAGGAGACTGCACTAATCTCCAGCCTGTCAGATAAAACTGTCAGTGTTAATAAAATCTTCACCATTTTCTTTCAGTTCTGCAATGTTACCTTAGCATGTTTGGGGTTTTGCAGCCTCCCTGTTGCTGAAGGTGATTTGACAGGAGCCTGGAGGGGACAAGAGGAGAAATTTCAGAAAATTCCTCACTGGGCTCAGCATTTCCCCCAGCTCCAGGCAAGGAAAGAGGCAAACACTTAAAACATGGAACCCCAAAAACACTTAAAGAGGCAAACACTTAAAACATGGAACCCCAAAAACACCTAAAGAGGCAAACACTTAAAACATGGAACCTCAAAAACGCTTAAAGAGGCAAACACTTAAAACATGGAACCCCAAAAACACCTAAAGAGGCAAACACTTAAAACATGGAACCCCAAAAACACCTAAAGAGGCAAACACTTAAAACATGTAACCTCAAAAACACCTAAAGAGGCGAACACTTAAAACATGGAACTGCAAAAACACTTAAAGAGGCAAACACTTAAGACGTGGAAGCTGTAAGGGGCAGGAATTCAGATACACAGGACACAAGCTCATGTGAATCTACCTGAGCTCTGTCTGACCAAAGCGTGGAGAAGCTTACTGACACTCTACATGGAGTTCAGTTGTACACTGATGCAGTGCAGGGTCTGGGAAATATAAAAACTAAAAGCTTAAGGCATCACAGGGTGTAGCCTCTCTCTGTCTCTGGATAATTGAGTGGAGAGCATTTGCTGGGATTTTAATCCTCAGTTAAAACAGGAGGCTGAAGTGAGTGGGGTGTCTGTGCAATTTCCATGGGAGACCCTTTTTCCTGCATGTAATCCATGACTGCAAATCCCAACAATCATTTAGAGCAGTGATAATCCTCCATAGCACTGACTCTAAAGATCTTTACAGCAACCCAAATGAGATCAAAGGACAAATAAAAGTCTCTTAATCCCTCTAAGTGTGAGTTCAACCTAATCTTGCATTTCTGTCTTTTAATTCTCTCTAAATCTGTTTTTAACTTTGCTTAACATTCATTATCCTTTTTCATGCCCTAATTCTGCAAGGGAAAAAAAAAAAAAAAAAAAAAAAAGCCCATGTCCAGGAGTACATTCAGCCACACAGGGATGGCATTTTGAACATGACACACTGGTTTCTCTTGTCACTCTGGAGTGGGACTGGATGCAGGGGAGAAGTGGTGGATGGAGGATATGCAGTGGAAAATTAAGATTGATGAACGAGGTGCAAATCAGCTCCTTGCTGACAGCTCTGTCACTTGGATGAGCACAAAATCTAGATAACTACATTTCAAAAGGAGACTGTCAGAAAAAAACAAACCAAAACAAACCCACCTGAAAACCACAAACAAAACCCCCCAAAACAACAAAAAAAACCACCCTCACCCACCACACTGCACCCCACACAGCATTCCTGACGTTCCCTGGCACTAATAGACCGTAATTAGCTATTCCTTCTACCCTGCTGAGCTCATGTCACACATTAAAGATCTCATCGCTTTGGACTGTGTCATTAATGAGGTCCTGTATCAATTGTGCTGTGCAGCTCTTGCTCAGTAATATTTGGCAGCCATGCCAACATTTCTATGTTCCGCTGATTTGTGTATTTTGGGATATTGAAGGCGTTTTTCATTAAGCATTATTCTTTGCTAATGTGTAGTTAATAACTTAATGGAAAAGCTTTTAAACTGCTCTGAGAATTAATCCACTCATACTTGTTTAACTGCTTGATTTCCTAATGGATATAGTGCAGGATTTAATATTCTGCTCATTTACATTACTTACCCGAAGAAAGGAGACCTTTAACTGCCTTTTCTAAAAACAACAGTAAATCATGTTTAGGTTGATTGATTTCTGCATACATATTAACACAATAATGAAGGGCACAATGTCTTCATAATCCATCCATTGTGTTCAACTACAGCTGAAGAGTTAGATTTTTTTTTTAATTTTTATTTTTCACTTAGACTGGAGAAGCAGCATCCCTACTGTCTGAATGTGACTTATCTCACAGCTGGATTCACTCCCTTGTACAAAGGGTGGTGCTGGCTTAAAATGAAATTCCATTCAGTCACTAATTAACAGAGCTACACTGATTTACATCAACCACTGCTCTAGCCCTAGACATCTGGTATCATAATTGAAAATCTTTCTTCAAATACATCAGACATTAAAAAAATACTGAGGATTAGATTATATCCACTTAATTCACTCTGAGGAGTACTTTCTCCCCTTACACAGCCATTGGGGTGGACACTGATGGAACAAGAGCAGGAACTGGAGCAGCACATGGGGAACTCTCTCCTTTCAGCCCTTCCCTCCTGCAGTTACTCCAGCAGCTGCATCATGATGGTGAATTTATGACACAGATTAAAATCTTCATATATAACCCCAGCCTGAAACACGCCCAGCCAACCCCAGTGAGGATGCAGAAGCTAACTGAGCACAAATCTCCATATTTAACTATCAAATTGATGAGCAGCACCTCAGTGTGCTGAGCCACATCAGTGTCTCCAGCAGAGGAACAGCTCCAGGCACCTGAACCAAGCTCTGCTGCTCCAGCAGGAGCATTGGGACTTCAGAAGGAGGCAAACTGCAGCAGGAGTGTCTGATAGAGAGGGGAGTGAGCACCAAGGGCTGCTCCAGGTGAGGGTGATGCTGCTGGGCTCACACTGTCAGCGTTCAGGAGCACACAGAATCACAGGATATCATTATATAGAGGTGCTTTTATTGAGAGCTCTGGGATCAGGGGTGCAGACCCAAATCTGACTCCCACATGGCTCTCGAGCTGAGTGTATTTTATATTCTATCCTTATATAACTTACATATTAATCATTAAACTCATATTGTTCTATTGTATACATGGACATTAGTTTCTCGTGATCTTTCTTAGGCCCCTGACCACAGTTTCTCATGATTATTCTTACGATTAAACAGTAATTATATTTAATTACTAAACAATCATCACATCTAACAATTATATCATTTATCACGTACTAGATACACGGGTGCAGTTCTAGCAAGGTACATGGCCTTCATGTACCTAGGGTATTTATTTTTTTTTCAGGGCCTGCTAAGCTTAATTTTCCTTTTAACCCCAAATCCCCATGATTTTAAAAGCCTTTTACTCTCAGCAGCCTGCAGCTGTGGTTACCCTGCACCTCAGAGCTTCCTTCTCCTCCTTGGAGCTGTCCCAGGGTCTCAGCGCTGCTCAGCATGAGCAGGAACATGCTCAGAGCTGAACACAAACTTCTCACCCAGACCCCCAGGATAGCCCTAAAACAACCCTCTGTCCTGGCCAGGCTGTCCCAGCCCTGAGGGCAGTGGCAGAACTGATGTCCCAAGAGCTGGGCTTTCTGATGGAAATGCCACATTTACAACATTAGAAACCCTGACAGGTTCCACTGAGGATGCTGTGAAAAATTAGTGCTCAAATAATCATAATCAAAGTGACTAAAAATTACTGCCATGAATGCTGAAACAATCAAATCCATAAAGAGCACCACAAAATTGAGTAGCTGCTCCAGGCCACATGTCAGGTTTGTCAGATGATATTTCTGCTGTCTGAGTGGCAGCTGTGGTTCAATGCAATCACACCCAAACGCCCCCATGAGCTGGAAGGCTGATACAGATGGTGTGACCTGCAAGAGCTGGCATCCCACACAACTTATCTTAGGCAAAAAAAAAATCAGCAAAGGTCAGAGAAACATCCAGGCAAATTAAACAGGATATGTACAATCCTCTTTGCTTGTTAATAAATCTTCATTTTTCTTTTCTTATGAGGCAATATCCTTTAAGAGAACTTCTCAGGAAATTAAAAAGAAAGATAAATTACCAGACAAATATTTCAGTGTAAAGCTCTCGAGCCCTAAACCAGCTAGTGAGATGGATCACACAGCACCCTGAGCTCCAGATGTGCACTGCCTTCCTCCCTGCTCCTGTGCCAGGTGAGCCAGGCATGCAGGCAGAGGAGGCTGGGTGTGATTTCTTTTTGATTTCTTTTGGGCTTTTGAAGATTTGGGTGTCTCTAGAGAGATTGTAAAGAGTCTTTGCTTTCTTAGCCTGAACGCAGCTAAATGAAGGAGCTCAGAATGCTTCTGATTGCATTTATAATGCTGTTTATTTCTTATTTATATGTTCTTTCTCTGACTTGTTGAGCTCAAGTTAGCAAGTCTACTATGGCTCTTTGCCTTTGAGCTTTGGGTGGCTCTTTATATACTCAAAACTTCGTGTCTTTGTTTATAATTTCTTTACCAATTCTTATCATCTATGTTAGATTATGAATCTCTACTTTAAATTAATAGAAAAGTGCTACTATCACACTAAGACATGGAGGGGAAGACAAAGAATAAGGCTAGGACACGCTTAAATTCTTCTATCTTGTACTTTTTTTAACGTCATCCTAAAAACCTTAAAATTCTACTTTTCTACTCTGTGTTAGTTTAAATATTACACCACTAAACCCCTTGTGGTTTGTAATTCTCTGTACAAAAGCTAAAGGAGGCAGGGTTAGGTGAGCTATTAGGGAGCAATACTTTACTCAGAGGGAGGGCAGGCCTGGCACAGGTGCCCAGGGATGCTGTGGCTGCCCCTGGATCCCTGGCAGTGCCCAGGGATGGGTTGGATGAGGCTGGGAGCAGCCTTGGACAGAGGGACGTGTCCCTGCCATGGCAGGGGGTGGGAACAAGATGAGCTTTAGGGTCCCTCCAACCCATTCTGTGTTGGAGATAAGTTTGTGTTTGTGCACACTGAGTGAAGCCTTTCAGCTGGTATAAATGCCTCTGTAATACTCTGCAGAGCAGCACAACAAAACTTCTAAATGCAAGTGAATATTTCCCCCTAAAGCCACAGAAGGGAAGGGGGCCCTCAATCATGGGAATAAGCAGCTGAAATAGTATAAACAATTCCATTTGAGCCTCAAGTTAATTATGGCACTGGGGCTGTCAAAAACTCATCTGAAGCACTTGCTGCCTAAATTGAAGGTTGGACATCCAAATTGAAATGTCATTTTTATTAGTGTCTGACACTGAGGAATAGCCTCTTCTCTTCTAGTAGGCTGTGCCCATTAGCTGCCATTAGTGCTAATGGATTTATGCACATACATCACATGCACAGACATCACTCAGCACCTTGGAACACTCCTGGTGTCACATTAGATAACAGCTGCTTTATTGCAGCCTGCTAGGAAAGATTCCAGGTGAGGCTGAGCCTGTATTGGTGCTCTCAGTGCCCTGACATCTGGGGCAAAATAGGGCTTTTTAATAGACCCTGCAGAGAAACTTTAATCCAGAGCTGCAAGCCAGAAGGGATCATATCTCAATTTTTGCCCAAATTATAGCCATAATTTCAGAACTTTTGCCGCCTTTCCCAAGGAGTTGCTCTCCCTGCAGACCTGTGGCTGGAATGCTGTCCACACCAACTCTTCTGGGGATGGACCCAAAACCTTCCAGCCACCCAGCTGTGGTTAGACAATCACAGTTATCTGCCCAGACATGGTTGCATTTCCACTTTTAGCATAAATCTCCTCACAGCTGAGCAGTCTGGAAGCAGCCATCCCTGCTGAGTGGCTGTCAGAAACTGCTGCAGTTGCTGTGTGCTGTACATGCAGCACATGGAAACTCCTGAGAGTTTTATAAACACACTGGAGAGCACTTTCACCTCTGGAGCAGTTTCTTTAAGAACCCTCCAGCAAGGCCAGAGAGGCTGTACAAAACAAGAGTGTAGAGAGCCCTCTCTGAGCCCCGAGGCTGAGGTTTTTGGGACAGAAGTGTATTGAAATGCAGGCCAACCCAATGGGAAGAAATGACGATGTCTGATACAATTCAGAAGGCTGAATTAATTTTTTATTATAACTATGCTAAAATACAATAATATACTATATAAAAGAAGGATACTAAAACTACATACTACTTTCTCTGACTCTATCCCTAACCCCCACACAACTCGTGCCCCTCTCTGAGAGCCCAGCCCCAGTGGGTTGGATTGGCCACCAGCTCCAACAATCCTCACCAGAATCCAACTAAGTAACACCCCAGGGAAACAATTCTCCAAACACATTCCACGTGGGGAAAATAAGGAGCAGAAATAGAAATTGTTTTCTCTTTCTTCTCTCTGTGCTCCTCTATGAAAAATCCTGAGTATATATATTAATATATATATTAATACATTGATAGAGTATATTAATGTATTTTAGCATAGTTATAATAAAGAAATAATTCAGCTTTCAGAATGAGTCAGACATCGTCATTTCTTCACATTTACAATCCTGCAGGAGCTGCATTCTTGTGCACACCTGTAAACCAGCCTGCCTTTCGCTGACCTGCTGCTCACCAGGCTTTCAAACCTGTGATGGCACTGCTGAAGCTGAGCCACCGAGAAAGAACCAGCAGCTTGCCATGAAACAGGTTAGTAAATCATCCTGGGGTTGAAAGAAGCTTTTATGTTAATGAAATGGCTTCGTATTACAAACCTAATCTGGATAACCTGTTTAATTCCTTGTCGTCTTAATTCATGAATTTACATTAGGAATTCCCAGAGGTCTGGAATGCTGGCCTGAAAATTTTAATTCCTTTCAAAATCATACATCTCAATCAGAAATCAAAATACAGTGTACCAAGTATTTCTTAAACAAGTGGAACCTGAAAGTAAATATCTCTCACACAAATCTTATGTATTTACCTATTGAGAATAATCGTAAATAATAAATATATCACTTCAGTCTAAAATTCAGTTAAAGGGATTTATGTTACTTAGCAATTCACGCATAGATTTCTTTTCCTAATGGAATTCTCAAGCATAGATAATCCTCACAACACGTTCATGAATGCTATCTAAGTCTCATAATGTTCTTACAAAGCAGTGTAGAAGGCTTTTCTCTTTCGACAGGAATATCTTGGGAAGGGCAAGCAAACCTGGGGATCAGCAGAAATCCCAGAATGTATTACAGCCTGGATGTTTCCAGCTCCCACATCCCAGTCCTGCCAGCTGGGCACCTCCAGTACAGCAACAGCTTGCTTAGAACCAGTTTTGCTCTTCCAGAATTGGGACTGCAGCTGTAAGGTCCCACCCACCTCCGACTGTGGCTGAGCTCAGCCCATCAATAACTCCAAACCATCTAGAGTTAATTTTTCCTCCCTGTGCAATGAAAAGGTTTTCAAAGGGCCATTATTGACCCCCTCAGTTCCCTCAGAAAAATGTGCTTTGCCTTGCACGAGGACCCTCCTTTATTTTGGAAGTTAATCACTGTAAGGTGATCCATGCTGGTGGGGTTTTTATGGGTTAGTGCTGTCAGGCAATGCTGTCCCACACCACCGAGGCTATCAGAGCTTGCAAATGCAATTTTTATTTGTCTTTGTTCTTGCTGTACAGCCGACACAGATAATACCTCAGTAGTTTTCTCAGCCAGCACCAACAGAGAGCTGGCTCATTTAAACAATCCCTGAATTGGATCCAATTTGGCTGCAAGGCTGGATTTTTCATAGCACAGCACAGGGCAGATAAAGACCAATTTTTGCCATGGATTTCTATTATTTCCCAGCTCTCTCTCACACCTGTATAGCAATACATCATTTGGATTATTGCTCAAAGCATCACATGCCAGTTGCACTTTTATATTTTCTGGGGTCCTGCTGTACTTTCAGGTGCAAAGTAATGCTGAAGTGCTGGCAGTGACGTGCACAAGGCTCCTGCCAGGCTTGGCAAGGAGAAGGCTGAGGTAACCAGCCTATTTATACAGTGCAAGACCTCATGAAGACAGCTCTGCCCAGGGTGAGAACCAGGAATAGCCCACACACCGGGGTGGCAGAGCACAGACCTCAGAACTAACACAGCACGGAGCAGAATGAATGGAAATGCCTGGACTGGACACCCTGTGACAGTAATAGTCCAAAGGAGTTGGATTCCTCCCTGTCATGCAGAGCTCCTGCCTGATTTCTCATCTGGCTGAGCACTGACAGCAGCTCCAACGAGACACCACAGCACTTTTCCATCTCCTTTTATCATTTCTAATGGCAAATGCCAGCAGTGTACAAACACCTGCTGCATCACACTTCCTCCTGCCTGAAGATGAAAGGAGGATATCAAAGCTGAGGTGAGGGGGTTGACTGGCTTTCCTTATAACAACAGGCAATAAATGGCCAGAATGGGCAGCTCAGAAGTCCCAAGGGTGGTTTGCAGGTATGACCCTTGGCTGCATTGGCTTGTTTGTACAATCCCTCTGGGGCACAGGGGCAGCACAGGCAAGGCAGGTGCTGTGTGATAAATACTCATTTCAGGCAGATGAAGATCCGCCCCCCAACCTTCAGAGTGTTTTTGAGAGGAGCCAGGCTGGACTCCAGCCTGGCCTGGCAGTGCCACCATTCCTCACCATTCTTTGCCATTCTTCAGTGTCCAAATGCCCTCTCTAGGTTTGTTTGCTTCCTCAGACACATGAAAACCACCACCCCTCTATCAGCCCAGGGGTAATTTCCCTTCAGTGTCTGGCTGGGACAGTGAATTTTCCAGTCCATGCTTTGTGTATCGCATTTGATTCACCAAATTTACAAATGCTTTACTCCACCAATGGCAAAACCAAAGCAGCTGCCATGCTGATTTGTTGTATTTCATCCCTTACCAACTCTTCAGACTCTCAAATTTGCCCAGTATTTCCCACACTCCTGTGCTTCACCCTGTTCTTCAGACTTGGAGTTATTCACAGTGACTCTGCACCCTGGACAGCCAAATTCTGCACAGACATACAGACCCACTCCCTGTGGAATCCTGCCTATGGCTCTTCTGGGTTTCCTAAAAGTTCTTTCCCAGCTACACAGATCTCAATTCTGCATGTCTATTTCAAGAAAACTGAAATTTAAGAAGAACTAGTATCAATTTCCCATTTTCCAAATTGGGTTTGCAGATTTATTCACAAAACTAACCCTCCATTCCTTTGGGATCACTGAATTGAAGAAGAAATCCTTCCAAGAAAATTGAGGCATGTTGAAGCAAATGCTTGCTGAAATGAAGCGGTATTTTGGTACTCAGTTCTGCTTTCTCTACTGGGAATTGTGATCAGATAAAAAAATAATCTGGCAGACATCTTTCACCATATTTACATGTTATTTTAACATCATCTCAATCAGAAAATATTTTGCATATTGTTTTCCCTTTGTATAGGAGACACAACTCTGCAAATTGCAGCAATATATGAAATTTGAACTATAGGCAATAAGTAGCTGATGATGCTAAATGTTATGACATTAATTGCACTTTCTAGGAGGCAGATTATTCCACTTTTCAAAAATGGTTTCCCAAGACACTTTGGACTAAAAATACTTCTGTTATTGTACTCACTTTTGTCAGGCTTTTCAATTCACCCTTGGGATTCTCAGCCAAACCATCCTAATGGGCACAACCTCTTCCAGTGCAGGTCCAGCCCATCTTTCCCTTCCCTGGACACATCTCCTGCAGGACAGAAGACAGGAGGACAGACAGTCTGCAGACTTCACTGCAGGCAGTCACAGGGAACTGACTTTTCCTTGGGTGAGCTGAGAGCCATTCATGCATTTTCAGCATGGATAAGCTCATTTTTATGGAGTCGTGCATCCCATGCAGTCAGTCCCACAGGAGCTGGCATTTTGTCACCCTAGAAGTGCTTGACTTCAGCTTGGCAGCAGATTTTGGCTTCCAGAGCCTCCTCTCTGCTCAGCAGTTGAGGCAACTCTTCCATGTCCCTTCTAAGCCCCACTGGCTCATGAAGAAAACTCTGAGCCTCAGCTAAGGGAACAGCCAGGAGAGAACACATCAGATCACACAGGAGGCATAGTTCCATTATCCATCTATTTCTGTAGAATAGATCTTTCCTCTTTTCTTTTCCTTTTTTAGTTTGTGTCGCTGCCAGGTGTATCTCTCCTCAAAGATAAACTGATTAGCTTTAGGAGATTTTAAGGGAAACATGCACAACAATAATGTTTACCTTCAAACCTGTAATATCCTAACACCAACCTGGCTCTCAAATACATTCAAGCCATCAGAATATCAGTCATGTAGTGATAGACAGACACTATAATGCAGATGTGTGTAAAATATTCCCTTAATTATGAAGTGTAGCTGTGGCAGTATTTTGCCACCCTACAAAATGACCCAGCATGTAATATGGAGGAGCAGCTCAGTGCTCACATCACTGATTTTGTGCTGCCTGCCTTTGCAGCAAGCCCTGCTATTGCTGCTTCGAGTAGCAGGCACTAATTCAGGATGCAGGAATTGAATCGGCCTTCCCAGAATACAGAGTGGGCTGTTTAAATAATCTGACAAGGTTTTTGCCTTCCTTTTCTCCTGCCACCCCCAGCCTCCACACACAATCATATAACATCATTTAGACAAATTGTTTCAAAGCAGCCTTCCCATTTATTTTTTCTTTTTGCTTTTTTTTAACTTTTTTTATTTTTTAATTTTTTTTTCTTTTTTTTTTTGCTTTTCTTTTTTTTTTTGCTGGTGTGAATTTATGAAGGCACTCAGATCCACCACAGACCAGGAGCTAAACTAACACACTACTTATGCACATGCTTTATTCAGCATCACCTCCGGGAGATTTCCTGCTTCTGAGCTACTGTGCAAACAGCCTTTGGTTCATAGCAGCAGAAATCTCTTTTGTCAACATTAGCATTCCGTGTTTGGATTTATTACAGATCCTGAAAATAATAATCATGTTTTCCTTCTCTGAAAACCCCGACCCATTACATAACTCCTTTCATTGATTCTCACTACGGCAAAGGGATTTCCCAGTCCTCAGGGGAGGGGGAACCTGTGGCAAAATGGGGTTTGCACAGCCACCCCTCAGCCCAGTGAGAATAGATCCTCTGTTTCTTTAACAGAACCTCTGTTTCCTCAACAGAACCCCCTTTCCCCAGCAGAACCCCCTTTCCCCAGCAGAACCCCCTTTCCCCAGCAGTGGCCCCATGCTCCAGCCAGAGACCCCTCAGAATTGTTGCTCAGCGTTGTTGTTGTGTGGAGTTGAGGTCCCCCAGCAGCAGCACTCAGCTCCAAGGCACTGCTATTTTGTCCTGTCAGGAGCTATTAATTGATTATTAATTGCTATTAATTGATCACTTCCTCTCCTTGGTCCCCACGTTCTTGGCCACACAAAACAATACCTTCCTCCACCCAAACCTCCCTGATCACCAGAGGAAGGTGATCAGAGCATGGCCTCTGTACTTGAGCTTTGACCACAACAAATAAATCTCCCTGCCATCTCCCTTTCAAATTCTGGACTGTTTCCTTTGGGAATGAATGTTAGCAGGCCATGGCCAATGCCTACTTAGAGTTTTTTCCTTTATTTTCCAATATCTACCACAAAAACTGCGGACCTCTTTACAGCTCGTGGTGTAATTTTCTTTCTTTCCATTTGCTGCTTTGTAACTTCAGCCTCTTGTAAATCACATTAAAAGGACTTGCTTTCTAATAGTTTTTTTATTGACTAATATATTTTATTTGGCACCTGTTACCTTGGTGGAGATTTCTTCTTGCAGTAATTTACTATATGTGCCACAGTCCCTTGAGCACTGGGCAAAGGAAACCAGCACAGTTAAAGAGGAGATTTACTCGATGCTCCTTGGGCTTGGGGTTAAAAAAAGAACTTGCTCCTCTTCTGAAAACCCAGCAGCAGCCTCGGATCTGCAAGCAGAGCACTTGCCACCCTGAGTACTTACACCAAGCAGCTGGCATGATGGATTACCATCTACAAGTTATTTAGGCATGCTGGGCCCATTTATCTGTTTAAAATATGAAATCACTCTTAGCTAACACAGAAGTGTTTAGTGAGACTTAATGAGCTGCTCGTGTGTTTATTACAGAGATTCCGAAGAACCAAATGGCAGAATGTTGCTTTAGATATGAAAGATGATTAAAGCATCTTGTGAAGTATCAATTTGTAAGTAAAAAGAGATCCAGCTATGAAACCACATGTGCTATTACACTCCAGAGGACGTGCCATAATGCCTGTGTCTCTTAAGAATATTTGTTTAATTTTAGTACAATATTTCTTTATGGGCAAAGTTTATTTTTATATTAGAGATTTAAGCACTGCAGACTCCTGTGAGATTGGGTTGGTTTTCACATATTCTGTCTGCTGAGCAGCATTTGCTCACTGAGTGAAGTATCAGCTGTGTTAATATCTTTGTTTTCCCAGGTGCTGGTACCTGTGTGTTATCCTGTACAAGACACAGGTGTCAAAACTGTCCCCCTCCTCTAGAAGGGATTTCAGGAGACCAGGGTAGGGCACACACACAGCTTCCCTTTCTTCAGCTCTTTAAAGATCAAACATTATGAAAATATGATGGTAAGAAACCAGAAATGCCCTGATACTCCCCCTGCAACCCAGCAAGGATTGAGCACAACAATACCAGGAGCAGGGTAGGCACAGAAGCCCCGTGACACAGAAATCATGCTACACATATTTGTACCAGCATTACATCTCCTTCCTGAGGGAAACGTGCCTGAAGTTGGTTTTTTAACACATTCAGTTTCACCAGCCCAAAAGATCAGGTCCTTCAGCAGAGATCACCTCGGGTTAGAATTGCCCAAGAAGAAACCAGGTTAAAATCACTGCGGTCTCAGGGGTTTGGCAGAGCCTAATGATTTTATCTCCTCTCTTTCAAAGCACGAGCACAGGCAGTACTGAGGGAAACTTCAGGGAGCAGAGAGCAAACAGCTGCCTAGAGTGGATGGGGGACGGACTAAAAGAATGTGTATTTGGAGGAGTTCTCTTTAACCAAGTTTTTTTCTCTAATAGTACAAGCAGACAAAATTTGATGACCTCCCGTGGAAATGAGTTCCATAAGCTGATCATAAAGTCAACAAATTCACGTTTCTTTATGCTTGTGACAAATGAACAGCTCTTTGAAGCAACACTTTGTTCCAGAAGAAGAGCAGCCAGCTTTTAAAAAGGGCTCCATGGCTTAGCACAGCTTGTAAGCTTAACGTAGTAACGAGCAGGGTTTGATTATTGAGGATGACTCCAGGTGTTCCTCCAAAGCCACCTCACCAGCTGACCTTCTGAATCTATAATATCAAATGTTTTATGAGGCACATTGTAATGAACACAATGGAAATGGGAAACTTGGTGGCTAAGACAAAAATGCTGCCTCCTCCAGCATTGTCTGAGATTTTTACTATTGTCCTGGTCACGATCTGTGAAGTCAAGAATGGCAAGCAGAAATAAAGGGAGAAAAACGAGCTCATGAAAAAAGAGACTTTTATTACATCCATGCAGGAATGTTATTAAAGCGAAAGAAACCTGAGGGAACAAGAGCTTTGAGCTATGATATTCTTTTCTGTAGAGCTGATGAAAAGAGACTATGAAAGGTCAAACAATTCTAATTCTCCTCCCTGAAGTTACTCATTCTTCCTGTTGTAAATGTCCCTCTGTAGTGTACTTAGCCAAGGCAGGGCTGCAGCAGGAATGAATGAAACAGAGCAATGGATGCATTCCTGCTTCTCATTTCCCTGAGATGCTGCCAGCCTCAAAGCCACCCCCAGCCTGTCACCCTGTTCTTTTGAAAGTTTTAAAGTTCTTCTAAAAGTTCCTATACCTTCTAATATTTACATATTTCAACTGAGCTTTCTCACACATGTTCATGTAAATTATGATTGTTTTACATTCTTCTTTGTGAGTAAAAAAATTAACAGACTGTTGGTTTAACCAGTGTGTTTGGAGAGGTGGCATTCACCCTCCAATCCACTGTCATTTTTACCTTTGTATATATAGTAAAGTCAAAAAATAAAGTTAACCTTTTTTCTTTTTCTGTTTTTAAAACAGAAAAAGGGTGACACCAGCCCCTCACATCAAGAATTCCAGCTGTGGGAAGGAGCTTGTACATCCCAAACCTGGCTGTTCCAGAGCCCTGCTGACATCCCTCCCACACCTCCTGCAACACTCCCGAAGATTTGGGGAAAGGTACAGAGCACATGACTGCGAAATAAAGTGTGGAATCCCAGCCTGATAAGAAACCATAAAGGATTCACTCCATCACGGTGAGGATTTCACCCAAAACACCAATTCTACACACATGTGAATGAAATTACGTGTAATTTCTGGGATTTTGTGATATCCTAAATCAGCTGGGTACAAAGGGTTAAAAATAAATATTTATGTAGGGAAGGAAGAAATTTTTATTAGTAGTATCTTTAATGAGTTTTGTGTCTCCTGCAGATAATATTTAAGAGCTTAACATTTCAATGTCACAGGCACGTGACTGAATTTTCTTTTTATGGAACATGAAACTGTGGCTAGGCAGTTGGAGAAGAAAATACAACCTTGCTTCCTTTCCATATTCATGATGCTATTTGTCATAATAATTTAGTTTTGTTTCAGTAACAGGAATGTTGGTGTTTTTCCATTTCCCCAATGCATTTCCATTTTCACACTTCCCCATCCAATATTAAATACATTGAAAATGCTGCCAAAATATTCAACAACATTGAAAAAGAAGAGGAGAAATAAAATTGCAGTCACAGATTTCACTTCACTCCTTTTTATAAATTAATAAATATTTCATTTTCTTGTCTGAAGTAGCAATGTACCCCAATGAACTCCCACTCCCAAATCCAAATTTGAAAATTTGACAAGCTGGACTTAAAAGTGTGGCTTACCAAGTAGACTTTCTTAAGATGAAACCATGATTATTACAAGCAGGAATCATTCCCACGAGGCAAAAACAAATTAGATTTTGTCACATGATTTTATCCATAAAATGTCTATAGAGTGAAAGGCTTAATAAATAATTTCAGGAAATGCCAGTGGAAGGATGGGAGGGCAGAGCTCAGGGTCACTGGCTGGAGGCAGAGGTGTGGCTGAGCAGGATCAGGGTTTCCCTGTGCTCAGCCTCACATTCCTCCCCTGCTGCATAGCAAAGCCCATAGTGACACTTGCTGGTACAGCAAGGAGTCTGAAACACAACGCTGAGGGAAGCAGAGCCAGCCACGGCTGCTTTTTTATTCCCATTTTCCCTTGGGGATAAATGCCCTGAGGGTCCTGTGTCCTGCCTGGCCAAGCAAAGGATGTCCAGCACAGAGCAGTGATTCTCTCCTGATCTGCAGCCTGGGCTCTCAGGAGCAGGGGCCACTTTGCTGAGATGACTTCCCTCCCTTTTCCCCCTTTTTCCCCTTTTTAGAAGCCATCTGAAGAAGAAAACAACCCCAATTTTCCCTCCCTTTGCCCTCCTGCCCATCTCCTTGAACACCCTGTACCCCTGACAGCCCGGGCTGTGAGATGCCCTCCTTGCAGCAGTGGGGCATTGCAAGGTGCCTGTCCTGCTGTGCCTGGCATTTCTGCAGCCCCTCAGCCTGCTCAGGGCTGTGCCCAGCTCCCAGCAGGGCAGAGCATGGCACTGACCCTGCAAGGACAGCCACAACCTCGGGATGTGCTTCCAGCCTCTTGAGCAGTGCCTCATCAGCCTGCTCCAGCACAAAGGGCATTGCCAGACGCTGCAGACCTGAGGGAATTCTGCACTCATGTTGTCCATTTTTTAAAGCCACTTGGCCTGTAATATACTCTTAAAACCCCCCAAATTTGTGATGATATGAAAATATTTCACCTGGGAAAACTCCTATTTGTGCAAGAGCAGGAGCAAGTGTTCGTCCTAAATTCCTCTACAAAAGAAACAAAGTGGGAGATTTAAATAGCTGCATGGAATGAAAGGGACAGAGAAAATGATACTCACCAAAGAAACCCAGGTTTCAGATATTGCCATATTTCTTCTGGGAAAAGCATAACATAAAGCAAGCCTGAGCTACTGCCTAGGTGATACTTCAGAAATGCAAGTGCAGCCCCAGTAGAATTTCACAAGTTGCTGTCAATTTATTCAGGAGAAATGCGACTTAGCAAAAGCCATCAGCACAACAAGCTTCTATTTACCCACTCCAGGGTTTTGATCCCTCCACTTCAAGCACAATCCTAAGGAGAATGTCTGTTTGTTGTGGTTCAGGATGGCTGCTCTTGACTCTTTTTTAAACAACCAGGCCTGGATAGACACAAGATTGTGAATCGACATGCACAGCAGCCCTTGTTTGCAGCCAGCCAACCACACACCGTTGCTTTTCCAAGACCTAAGCATCAGTTTACCCATGACCATCCAAGGGCAGTACCAACACAAAAATGTGCTTCTCGCACCTTTTAAGGTCTGATGCACTCACATCCTTTATCTTAGAGGCAAACAGCTGTGCCTGGAGGAACAGTTCGTATTTTTTTAAGCGTCACACGATCCTGTAGGGCAAGTGTTAGAGGCAAGGGGCCTATAGCCACTGTCCTTGGTCTGTAAGCTTCTCCCAATTCATCAGAACCAGAAACTTAAATAAGGCAGGAGCTGAAAACATGGGGGAGCTGGAAACAGCTGCTGCAGCAGGACCTGTTCCCTCATCAGCCGTGGGGCTGCTGAGCTGGGACAGCAGCACGTGCCACAGGAGATGAAAAGTGCCCCTCTGCATCCCAGGGGCAGATCCTTCACCTTTGGAACCAAATGCTTGAAAAAAAAAGGAGAGACATCAGCCTGGCAACTCACCAGGAGGAGGCTGCCTCTGCCTCTGCTGCCCGAGATGGGATCTGTCAGCACAGCCCTTGTCCAGGAGATTGGGAGACTCCAGAAGGCACCTGCAGCCTGGAAAATGAAAAACTCATGGAAGCAGGAAATTAAAGGGGAGCAGAATGCCTGTGCTGAGGTAGCAGGCCTCCTTTCCATGTGGCACATACAGCAAACAGGGAGCCTTTCTCCCTAGAAGTTTATATTTTCATCCATGATCCCACCCCAAATACTGAAGACAAAACCCACAAAGACACAGTCCACAGCTCCTGCAGTACTTCAAAATACAGAACTGTAGCAAAACCAGAAAGGGAATCTTTCCTTGAAAAATGCTTATGAGAAAGACAAACACTGCTCTTGGGATTACATATGAGGGAATGTAGAACAAATTAAGTTCTCAATATAATGACATTGAGGTTGCAGAGAGCATGAATAGAGGTGAATTTGATGTTAAGAGTTTAAATAATTTGCTCGAGGTCACAATGAAGTTTTCTGTCTGCCCTGAGATTAGAAGCCAAGAGCTATTAAAGTCTTTCTTTTGTTCCCAGACTGCCAGACTGGGGAATAAAGCTCCCTGCAGGGAGGAATATTCAAAACCAGAAAAAGAAGAATGAAGAAGACTTACTTACTCAGTCCAAGCCCTAGAGTAAGAGCACATATGTACTGTCACCAGTGCTTCTGTGTCCCTGCTGCTCCCTGCCTGACCTCCCCTGACTGACAGGAGTTCTGACAGCTCCTCAGGAGCCATCTGCTCCAAACTGAGGCTTCGAGCTTCTGGGGCTCGGCAGAAGGGGACTGAAGGGTGGCTCCACAACCCTGAGTGTGAGAAATTACTTCACCCCTGCCCCTCAGACATGCTGGGGATCTGTCCCTGTTGGCAGCTGCTGTTGGATCCACTGAGAGCCGACGCCAGGGTCCTCATAAGACAGGAAAGCTGGACAGGGATAGGTCGAACCAATATGGTTAATGCTACGTTCTCCCCTTATTCCAGAGAAGAATTTTATATACACTTCCATATAGTTTACAGTTTACAAAGGCACTCTGACTGGCAAGCTAACATTGTTTACCTTTGCATTAAGGTGGTCAGGCTTTTCATACTGCAGCTCTACCCTAATTCACACTCAGATAGCTGATTACTTTGTAGTTACCTTAATTTCTAACTGCGCCACAACTGAATTCTCACTGCGCCAAAGGCTCCTAGGTCCCACCTAGGCCGCTGATCAGGGCCTAGTCTGAGGGCAGCTCAACTCCAGACATAAATCATGCCCTCTCTGTCTGTCTCAGAAATTCTGCAATAGAGAGCTTGACAAAGGCAAAAGGAAAGCAGGGCTGTTCCTCCCAGCCGCTGCAGGAGCACAGAAAATAGGCCACCAAATCCTGACGCGCTCCAGCCTCCCACACGGCGGCGGTGGGAGGCGGAAGACGGTGACACATCTCAGTCTGGTCCTCTGCTCCTGCACGGAGCTGTCAACGCTTCCGAGCAAACACCTGCAGGAGCTGCCCCAGCCCCTGAGTGCCTCCTGCTCCCTGCGGAGAGCATGCCAGCCTCTGCTTCCCAGCCGCTCCTCTGGGAAGCTCCCACGAGTCCCACGGACACCAGGGAAGGATCCACAGACACCTGGGAAGGACCTACGGACACCAGGGAAGGATCCACAGACACCAGGAATGGACCATGGACACCTGGGAAGGATCCACAGACACCAGGAACAGATCATGGACACCAGGGAAGCACCCATGGACACCAGGGAAAGACCTACAGACACCAGGGAAGGACCCACGGACACCAGGGAAGCACACATGGACACCTGGGAAGGATCCACAGATACCAGGAATGGACCATGGACACCTGGGAAGGATCCACAGACTTTTCCCTTTCTCCTACCAATTTGGGAATTCAGGCTGCATGGACACCTGGTTGTTTGGTGTGTTAATTTTCAGGCTCCTACAAAAACCCCACAATTTCCACCTTCAAACAGGCCTTTTCAGGCATTATTAGCCTCATGTGCATTCAGTAAAGGACCCAATGCTCAAGTTCATTGACCACAGCCACAGTCCCAATAAACCTGGGGTTTGCAATGCCATGATTACATTGACCCTCCCCTGGTCATTTATTCTGCCATGAAAAGACAACCAAAAACTGTTTGTGTTTGGAGCATGTCTGTCTTCCTCATAACAACTTCACCCAGTTCTTTGGATTATATTTTTTTTTTCCTGACAAATGAGGAACAGCTGATTAACAAATCCATTGCTCTTTTTACAGCAGAACTTTTTTTCCAGGCTGCAATGTTTGAGAACAGAACACCCAAAATCTGTCAAAACAGGATTTCTTTGGAATCGAGCCACAAAGGAGAAAATGAAGTTGCCACTGAAAGTTAATTAATACAAAGCATCAATTGATGGGAGGAATTAATCCTTAGACCCAAAAATACCTGTGCAATACAAGCTGAGAAGTTATTTTTAGTCCTACTCTTAACAAGAATACCTCAATATGTTTAATAATAACAAACTGGATCTCCAGGGCAAGATACTGAGAAAAATTGTTTACAGCAAGCACTTCCAAATCTCAAGAACTTACCTCAACAGATTTTAAGTTGTTATTAAGCTTTTGCTGGCTTTTTATAGAAACGGCTTTACAACATTTTCCCATTATGTCCTTTCATTATTGGTTATAGCAAGTGAGGTTTCTGTGTAACCAAAAATCATTACAGCACAGGCAGCTTCAGTGCCTGAGTCCCCATGAAAGCCCATTTTCTGGAATGTATGTGTGAAGCATGGGTACACAAAAAATTGCTTTTCATGTACTGAAAAGAATGTATTTTGAAATTAATTCAGAGTTCAATTAAAAATGTTTCATCTTTCTTTTGTAATGAATAGCTCCTTATGACCAAAGAGGCGGCAAAGAATTAAATCTTCTGAGCTTCTTTTAAAAATCTATATCCAGTGCTTAAAAATCTATATCCAATTCTAAACATATTAAACCACTGGAGCCTTGTCCTGGCTTCTCCAGAGGGAGGGAAAAGTCTCATCTGCTGAGCCATGAGAGCTTTTAACTTTCTCTCTTTGGGAACTGGATGAAGCTGGATATACTTTGAAGGTTTTTAATGCATCCTTTTGCAAACCCCAAAGCTGTGCCCAACGAGCTGAAGTGGACACATGGGTTAATTGAATGATTTTCCAGGAAGATTTTTTTAACTTCCTCAGGTAAATAGTGTTTACCAACAACTAAAATTACTCTTTACCATGAGGAACACATGTCAGAAAATGCATTAGTATTCAGGAAGATCCATGCGTGCTGGAGGCATTCTCTTCTAAGAATTTTTGAGAATATCAGGCAGCTTAGAATAAAAAAATAAGACACAAATGTTCTGTAAAGGACAGAGAAATGGCAGTTCCCTTCAAAGCAGGAGCCCAGGCTGGGTAGGGGTTGCAGGGAAGTGAGGTGACACCGCCTGGGATGCACTGGGTGAGGATGGAATGACACAGTGATGCTGGAAGGCACAACCATGAATTCAGCCCCCTCCTGGCTAAGAAATCATGTGCAGTCCAGTCCTCATTTCTGTGTGTTTGACATTCACAGCACTTCACTGGGAGTTTGGACATACTGTGATTTTTTTGCCACACTTTCTGTCATATCCCTACGCAAATTGTCCCTTGAATAATGTGTTATTGTTTCTCTGTCTTGGACTGCTTAGTTAAAATTTCTGTTTTGTCTGACTAAAAGAGAAGAAGGGGAAAACAACGTTGGGCACAAATTCCTGAGCAATCAGTTGCCATGAGCTCTGGAACTGAGAGTTTCAAAGACAAAGACAATTTAAATCTGATCAACATTCTGGATTTTCTCCTGCTTGCTGTATTTAAATAACAGATATTAGGAGTACCCTCCCATGAAAGCATGTTTTCTTCTCAGCACTCCCCCTTCCAGAGTCAGTGGCTGAACTGCTCAATGCTTTTTGGATTTGAGGACAAATCCAGCTTTTCCTGTTGTGGCTGTGGACATTTTCTGAGGAAGGATTCACTGACCACTTGTGAGAGAGCAGAGCAGGATGGGGTGAAGGAAGAGACGGAGATTTTGAGATTCCTCCCAGCTCCTAAATGACTGCAGGACACAGGGGACTGCTCCACCCTACAGGATAAACCTCCTGGGCTCTGCACTCCCTCCCCAAATTGCAGCACTGGAGTGAAGCACCGGAGCATTGCTGACCCGAATTTTAGCTCCAGAAGCTGTCACTGTGTCAAGGGGGAGCACTGGGAATGTTCTGTGGGAATAACTTCAGTGCCCTTCCTGCTGGAGATGCAGCACCTTCTTGGAAAAGGGGTCTCGGTAGAAGATGGGGAGATACAGAGAGAGATGGTATACTTAATAAAAGGTTTGGATGTGCCACTTTTGCTTACCAAAGAAAATTGGACAGAAAAAAACCCTTGGCTGCTTGATGAATTGTTCAAATGCTCATTAGCATCAATCAGATTTATTTGAACAGATAATTATCCCCATATTGTGCTTTCATCACTGGAATTGTTTATGTTAAACTGTCAAGCAGCCGTTTTCAAATTTTACTCCTTGATGTGTTAAAGTTCCTTTTAAGGCAAGAAAAACAAAGAAGGATTTATTTTTTCCCCCCTCAGCTCTGTTTTAACCCTATTTGAAGTCTTCCACAAGGCTCTTGAGTCTCCAGGAGCATGGAGTGATTTCCATTTCAGATGTTTGGGATTTCGGGTCTCAGTGTCCTGCTTTAACCCCTTCAGTGCACAGGTGAGGCCCCAGCACAGAGGGTGCAGCTCACAGGGGACATTTCCCTCCTTCCAGAGCTGATCTGGCAGCTGACAGCCCCTGAGTGCCCACTTTGGGGGTTGCCATCAGTGTGTTCAGCAAATCTGCCTCTTTGCACTTCCAAGGGATCAGAGCCCCTGTAAGTCAGCAAACTGCTCTGCCTGAGCAGAACAAGCCCATCCCTGCCTGCAGGCTGCTCTCCATGCATTTATCTGCTGCTAAAGGAAGAACTTTGCCAATTTATGTTTATTTATTTATTATAAATTTATTTATTTCGGTGTCCAGGTGTCAAGGTGACCCCAAGAGTGTAAAAGTCCTCTTTTCCCAGCCCTGCAGCCACAGGAGGAGTCTGAATGTGCAGGATCAGCTTCTCAAGGCTGTTTATTTTCCCTTCTCTAGAACATTCTCTCTCTGCCCTGCTGAGCTCTGTCCAGCAGCTCGGCCATGGCATTCTGTCTGCCCTCAGGGCGGTGTTTGCATTTTATACCAAAAACTGCCTGTGCCATGTTTGCAGTAACGTGCCAATATCTGTCATTTATGTTGGACAGTGTGTCTGTACCTTAAACCAACAGAAAAGTGTCACCAGCACAGAAAGGCATGGAGGGCAAGGAGAAGGAGAAGAAGGTCAGGACATGCCCAAATCCCTCCATCTTGTCCCCTTGAACCCCATTCTAAAAACCCTAAATTCTACTTCTTCAGCCCATGTTAACTCAACTACCACACTGCTCAAACCCTTGTGGTTTGTAATTCCTCACACAGAGTTGGCAGCTTTTCCCATGGGCTAAAATGGAAGCCACAGGTGTTTGTGACTTGGTGCCAAGGTCTGTGAGCCCCTGCCAGGGTCTGGGGGCAGCCAGAGGGATGTGCTGGGTCCCACACCAGCAGATGTAGAAGCCTGTGGAGGAAACATGGAAAGCCACTCCAGCATTTCGTACAGGAGCCCATGAAGACTGGCATTATCATTTTGAATCCTCAGCAAGAAAGCTGCAGAGCCCTGGGAGATGCCAGTGGCTGCTGGCCCAGCCTGGGACAGCCACACACAAAGGCTGGGCTGCTGCTCGGGGCTGCAGCTCCAGCTCTGCTCAAAGGGCAGCCACGGGAAGCTGTTCTCCTAAGGGAAATAAATCAGGTGGTTGAACTCCAAGGAGCAGAGGAACTTGCTTTATTAACTGTTGGTTTTGAGACTGCACAGGCAAGGCCTGAGAAATGAAGTGAGGATGGCGCCTGTGTTTTGCATTATAATTCAATTTAGAAATACCACACACACACACAGGGCTTTATTGCTAATGGATGCACCAAGCAGACCTGACTGCTCTACATCAACAGCAAAACAAAGAACTGCACATCAGCAGTAGGCTCTCATTAGCAGTAATGTTATTGCAAAGCGTGGAGTATCTGTCAGGCAAATGTAAGTGCCTCTGACATCCACCACAGCTCCCTTTCCCTGGCTGGGTGATATGTTTCAAATTGAGGAACATCTGTTTCGGGCATGTGATGAATCATCTTCAACTGTATTTCCTATTTCCTGCTATCCTGTGAGATCAGACAGTGGAAAGAAGTTATATAATACCATGATTGTATTGTTTTGCAGCACTTCTGAAATTTTAGATTTTAGATTTTTTTCTCATCTATGGCTCATTTAATGGTTTAAACCAAAAAAAAAAAAAAATAATAGTTCCCTGAGAGAGGATATTCCATTTCTAGACTAGGAAGAAGTTGAAATCAAAATGTTATGGACATCCTTCCTTTCCTCTTGGTAGTGTGGTGGCTGAAGTGGCTCACCTACCCCGAGATAACAATTCTAGAGAGGTACAATGCTATTTTTGTCAGTGTCCTCTTCAGCTGATAAATTGTCTCACTGGATGTATTCAAATTGCAGCTGCTTGCAGAGGTGTGGGGGAGTAAGCAAGAAACAGGTAAAGCGTAAGGTAAAGTGTAGGTTTAACTAAAACACAAGAAAAACACTGTGAAAGCTTTGGTCATAGAGGAATTTGGCAATGAAAAATAAGACCCTTTGATTGAAATGTAAAATTTCACACATCAAAAAAGGGATTATTATTTTAGCAATGGGACCTGACAGCATATCAGCACAGCACATGTAGAAAAATTAATGTAGCTCTAGTGTGCATGTCTTCTGCATTTCAAATGAAAATCAAGAGCTATTGAGAAGAATAAGGATGTTTAAAGTGTTCTGGATTGTGAGCAGCAATATGAACACCTTCATGCATGAGAAAACACAATTTGCCAAGTCTCAGAGGGGGATCCCTGTGTATTTAGCTCATCCACCTGCTGATATACCAGCACTCGTTGCTCTGGGAATAGGGTTTATACAGGAAAGGGTTTTTACAGGAAAGGGCTTTTACAGGAAAGCTTTTGGACTGCTCAGCTGAGAGAAGGCAACAAGACCTGCAGCTTTTGGAATTCACTTTGGTTTCTGGACCCTTGACACTATCCTGGATCACAGCAGGTGATTCTGGCTAAGCAGAAATGTCTCACTCAGCTGCAGTCCAAACGTGGATCCCAGCTTCCCTTAAATCCGCTGGAATCCAAAGGAATGAAATCAGGGATTTAAGTGGGCTCCTAGGCCAGCACTCCAGCTCAGAGCTCTGTCCCTGAGCAGTACAGGGCAGACTATTGTTTATTCAGCTTCCAAAGCTGAATCCCTCCCAGCTGGCCACGAGCTTTCCTCCAAAAGCAAACTGCCACCTCAGCAGGGCACCAGGAGCAGCACGAGCATCTCCAGCAGCAGCAGCTGGTGTCTCTCAGGGCTTTTATCACCCTGGTAAGCTGCAGGTACAGAAATTAGCACACAAAAATGAGCACAGTATGAAACCCTCATGCCCTGGCATTTCCACTGCCCTGTCCCAACTCTCACCATGAACAAATGATGCCATTTGTCTCCTTCTCTGTGATCCCACAGTTGTCCACATCCAGCCAATTCAGGGTTTGCTTTGCTTTCAGAAGGAGGCTGATTTATCAATTTTTGCCTGCAATCAAACTTGGGCTGAATGAGGACAACCTGGAAACTGTGACATAACCTGTGCAAACCAGCCTGAAGCGGTCCAGGAGGTTTTTGATCAGTCTGCACCAGGTACTTGTGGAGAAGCTCCCTGTCACCCCCTCTCACTCTTGGCTACTTCCAGAGGTGCACCTGCAGCCCTGAGAATATGAAGTAGTCTTTTCCTCCGAGGATGCACATCTGAAATGCAGATCTTGGTGATCTGGGCATCAGACAATTCTAAGGAGATCCTTCTTCAGTTCCCAGGAAGATCAGTGACCTTGGAAAAGTGAGTTCAGTACTTTATTCCTCTCTACTTGCTACAGTATTCTGCTTTATTAAGAGTGTGCAGTATCCCAGCTAATGAGGACCAGCCTATATATATATTTATACATCTATATGGACAACAACTTTATCTCTTTCTAAATGAGTGTCTCCTGTGACTGAATTCTCAGGGAAGGCTGTTCTTGAAATTAATCTTGAATGCTCTAATTAGAATGGTAGCGGTTACAGAATTCTCTAATGGCTACTTTGAAGAAACAATTACTGTCTTTATTATGATAACCCTCCAGATGAGATACTACAGTTGACAAAAGATTATTAAACAAGTTATTATTCAGTCACTGGCTCACTTAGGCAATAGCTTGTGCATGTAATGATGAAGGCCACCATGCCAGCACTTAAAAGAGCTCTCATACAGTGCCCAGCTTTGTAATACTTTTTGGACAGTATGATATTGCAATAGATTGGGGCTTTTTTTAGTAAATCGATGGTAATTGTACTATAATTAGATCTTCATAAGAATGTATAAGGTGTGATTAGCATACAGAATTTTAAACCTTTTATTTCACGTCTCTCAGAAATTAGCGTAGAAGGTCAGAATCTAAGACAATGGGCATTATTTCCCATGGTGGATAATTGATTTAATCCAATTTCTGTCTCCTTGTAGCCATCTGTCAATCAGAAATGGGACATCAGGATAAACAATGTCAAGTCTTTGATAAAGCCTGGGAAAAAAAATCAAAAAGAAAAATTAAATCCTGACCTGTACCACTGAAAGCAGCATTATTTGGGCTAAAGTAATTTTTATTTTTACAGCCCTTGGGTTGTATCTACTTGTAAAATATCTTGGCAAGAAAGGCACTGCAGGAATGCAAAGATGTTATCATAAGACTACCTATAACCACTTTGCTCAATTATTCTCCCCAGGGATGGCTGTGTGAATAAGTGAGTAGTCATTGAGATTTTGAATTAGTCTTGTGTATTGTAACCTCACTGCATAGCTCATATTCCTCTGCTGCGGAGAACACAAAGATCCTTTCTAAAAAGGCAGTGCACCAAGTTTTCTAATCAGATTCTTATACCCTGGTGACTCTGCAGACCATTTTCTGACAGAACTGAGGCACGGGCTATGGAGCTAAAATAGAACAGGCTATTAAAAATGTTATCTCTATGGAAGCCTATAATAACAATACTAAAACAATTCCATGATAGAGAAGAACCCACTTGGAAAAACGATGCTTTAATTTAGAGTCACAAAAAGCTTCCAGAGAGAAAGAGATCTATAGAAGGAAGGTCTGGTCTCAAGGAAGGCAGCTGCATCTCTAATGGCATAATTCAGGATACTAGACAACAGCTTTATAAAAAAAAATGGTCCAATAATGACTGAATCACTGGTGATTGTTTTATCTGATCTCAGATTGGCTGTATAATTACAACAGTCTTACTTGGGATTCTCTAAACACAAGCATACATATGAGCAAAGTCTAACAGCAAGCAAGTAACACAAAAAACAAGTGGAAAAAGAGATTTCCTGCATTTCGATGTCCTTCGATGCTCTTTTGTCACTTCTCCCTATACCAAACTGATATCTCCTCAGCTGAGCTTCCATCTGATGTAACACCTTTGTTCTGAGGCTGTACCAGAAATCCAGGAGAGACTAGAAAATCACAGAGCAAACCTTCTTAGTGCATGCAGCCAAAATACCCCATTTCAGCAGGCCTCTAGATAACTTCTGCATATTCTCCCCCTCTTTGGGGACAGGTGTGAACTTCCTTTATAGGACTAATTTCCAGTTCCAGGTAACATCTACAGATAGCTTTACATTAATGGTATGTAAATACATTCCTGGGTCCAGCAGCTGATATAAACCAACATTTTTTCACAGATTTCTGTGGTCCATGACTGGAAAGGAAGAGGGCTAGAAGAGCTGAAATGTGACATTCAGTTATTTTGCTTGAGACACTGGAAGAATTTACTTAACTGTTGTCATGGTGGTGGTTATATAAGGCCCTGCAGGAAAGAAAATAGAACACGAGACATACAAGCATGTCTAAAGTGCAAACATTTAAATAGCAGCCTCTGTTTAGTTTGTAGGGTTTTCTCACCTCCTCACTTCAGCTACAGCTCTCCCACATTTAATTAGCTCCCTCCAAATGGGGACCAGATCACATCATGCTTAATGCAGGGTCTCTATCAGATGTTCTACCTCTAGCTCTGCCTCCAGCAAATATCTGCTTGTTTTAATTAGGGGTAGCACTGCTGCAGTGATAGAAGAATGCAGAGTCCCTGGGAAACAGAGATTTTCATAATTCACCATAGAATTTTAACCACAGTATCCAAACTCAGAGTTTTAAATGTCTAAAAGGCTTCAGTGAAACGCCAATGGGATAAAATAATCTTTGCAGCTTCCAAGGAGCATCTCCAGTGGTTTCTCCGGTGTGCTAATGGCTCGGGCAATTTAATTTACATACAAAAGCACGAAGTGGAAAGCAGTTTCCTTTTAACACCTGTAGTGCTTTCTCTGGAAATATTGGGGGATATTGCAAGTGCTTCAAGTGAAGATACACGAGGAATGTACTAGCTAGAGTTCATTAACTCCTGCTAAATACCAAATAATTGTGTTTAACTTAAAGGTGTTCACGTTCAAAGAGATTCTACTTTTATCTTCTCAGTCTCTAAAGGCTGTGGGAGAAAAGGCTCAAGCAATGTACTTTTCTTTTTCTTTAACTTGAAGGACACACATCTGAATCCTTCCAGACAAAGCTTCTTCGCCTTCTTTCTTTCTGCTGGAGAAAGGATATGTGTATTTCATCACACTTTCCTCTTAAACCCTTTCACACCCACCAGGAGATGTCTGTACTCCCTCAAAATGTGGTCTATTAATAAAAGATACAGGCTATAGCTGATTTCCATTCTAAAAAAAACCTGACAAATGAAATAAACCCTGGTGACAGAGGATTGGAGGGTGAATGTGCCACCTCTCCAATGATATTGGATAAATTATTAGAATATCAAATTTTTCTGCTTCTATGGAGGAATTTAAATTAATAGATTGTTTATAGAAAGTTGTGTGAGAAAGTTTTCTACAAGAATGTAAACTCATAAGGCTTTAGAAAATCTTAAGAATCAGGGCAGCATCACTGCCCTGGACAGGTCTGGTGATCCTGGGGTTCTTATCCAAAGGATGCAAATAAAACAGCCCTGTCACAAATATTGCCTTTTATGGGTTTTATCACAGAATTTCTATATCTTGCTTGTGATAAAACTCAGTTCTCACACTCCATTCACTGACTTCTGCACTGCACCTGCAACAAGAATAGGTGTAGGAACAAAGTGAATTTTTCAATTTCACCTGTTGCTTTGAATTCCATTAAAAGAAATTTTGAAACAGTGAGAGTCCACACTTTTTGTTTGATCTTTTAACATATTCATATTTGCAAGTAGCTAAACTAATTTCAAGAAAAATTAATTGAGAAAAGCTTTAAATCTCATGCACACACCTGAAGATTTTAAAAGCTGGGCCTAGAAAATGGTATTGGTCTATTAATAAATACCAAGGACATTTTTTGCCAGCTCTGTTAAATGCTTCCATCAGCTGAAAATGTATTATTTTGCAGTTAGAAGGGTGTTAACCTTTTAGCTGTGTGGGAACAATAATAAATCCATCCTCTTCTAACATGGTTTATCAGGTAATGATGATACTTTAATAAATAACAATGAGCTCTTTATTCAACAATACATAAAACATAACTAGAATTTTGTTTAATGACTCATAACAGTAATTCCTTATTTTGCTGATTTTTTGGGGCTTTTTTTTTTTTTTTGCAATTCCCTGACCTATTGTCCCTGGTATCCTTAAGATACTTCTGTGCAATCCTTAAGAAATGAGATTTATCATCATGCCTTTGAAGTGCAAAGGACCACAAGCCTCTTTCCTGGTGGCTAAGATGTATTTTTTAGGGCAGTGCACCATTGTGAAGTGTTTATTTTCTCCCTCACGTCCCACCAATGTCACTGCACTCTGCACACGATGATTTACCAGGGATGATTTCCCATCTGTGGACAGCTGTGGGATTGGAGAGGAAGGCAGGGGAGATCCTGAAACTGGAACTGTCAGTGCCTGCCTGAGCTGTAATAACTCTGTGCTCTGACATCTCAGGCATTATCCACGGCTCTGGCAATTAATGACGTTTTTAAAAGGTGATTTCTGCATTAGAAAATTAAATGTCTTTTCCAGAGTGACCAGGAAGTCCATGTAATACCAGAGGTGTGACATCTCTGAAGCATTTCTAAGTGCAGAAGCACTTCCAGAGATAATACAGAGGTCAGCAACATTTTCTGTCCATGTGGAATTATCTGGAAATATCGGTTTTCCAGGAAAACTGATTCAAGGTCCATGCAGTGCAATAAAAGAAAATGGTTTCTGTTTGTGATGGACTTTGGGCAGATGCTGCTGCCCTAGAGAGTCCACATCCAAAAAAAACCCCACTGAGGAACTGGCAGGAAAGGTACCAAGCTCAGAAAGGAAGGAAAGGAGTGAGGGAAGAGTGGATTTATTTGCTTCGTGTGGAAGGGATCCTTTGGATCATTCCCATATCCAGCACTGAAGCTGGGAAAGAAAGGGAACAGCAATGGCCCAAGCAAGCAAAGGATTTTTTATGGATATTTTATCTCAGAAACAAATAATATCTTTAGCTCTAGAGAAATGGGGAAAGGATACTCATACTGGTTATGGGGAAAGGCTACTCATACTGGTTTTACTGGTCTCTCTTTCTCTAGGGATTCTGAGAGGAATCCAATCCAAGCTTGCTGCTGCTCTTGATAGTGGGAGACACAAGGGAAGAAAATGAGTAAAATGGGCATCCAGAGGGATGTTTTGGAAATCACTGTTCTTATGTTATCTGATTGCTGAATTCTTCTGGCCTCCCTGCAGCTGTAGTTCTGTATAAAAGCAGCCGAGCTGCAATGTGGTGAGCAAAGGTTTAACAAATAATAGCCTGGGATCTATTTATTTCCATCTGCAAATGTACATGTCTCGCTAGTCACATTTGCATAATGAAAAGTGTGTTAGAATCCAGATGCTCATCAGCTCGGACACACACTCAGGTTATTGGAGGGGCAGTTTTGATGCCTCAGTTCCACACCTGATCCACTGGGTTGGAAAGTCAGTGCAAAGTCTCCCATCCATTAAGTGAACCCTGACAGCGCAGGGTTTTCAGTCCTCATCAAACAAAATTCAAAATTCCACATGTCATTACTCGAAGAATTTTCTCCAGCCATCACCCCTTGTCAAGTTGGAGTCTGCCACCTGAAGTGAAACCATTAATCAAAGTATAACCAAAAAAAAAAAAAAAAAAAAAAATTCAGTATTTCTACCATACCCATTCACACAGGATAAATCCTCACCTATTAGTCATCTCATTTGCTTAGATGCCAAACCAGCATCTTTTGAAGTGGAAAAGTGTAAAGATGTTAAATAATTTCTCAATGCAACAATGAAATTGTTTTTGTGTTTTTTCTTCAGTAGCCAAAGACTGCAATGAATCACTCAATTTTTAACGAAGTCTAACACTCACTGTGTCAAAAAGATATTTAAAGTTACAAAGGAAGCTCCATTTTTACTTAGGCCCATAGTAGCAGATTACCAGCACCAGTAATTCCAGATTGTCTGACTTGCTCTGGGGGCAAGAACTCTTTGGATACCATGTGATGTCTGCATGTGTTTGCACAGCTTTCTGTAAAAGTGGTTTGGTAGCTGTTCCAGCCCATGTTAATTTGTCACTGTGCTGCTCCAGAAACCCTGATCGTTTTGTGTCTTTTTTAAAGTGGGTTAAGATGGAGCAACATCACATTCTGGCTCCGTAACACACTGTGTATTCTGCACGGGCGTAAAGGATGACATGAATTATTGCAGAGGCTTGTTAGAATACCCTCAGTCAGAAAACACTATTTACCCAACAAAGTGATGAATTTCAGTACACCAAACCTGCATTTGCCCATCACTTTGCTAATGGCTGCTGCTCCCGACATGACAGAAAACAACCACATATTGACAAATACAAGCGAGCCTCGAGCTGCTGCAAGTAACTCTGCGAGGCTGGGGAGAGGAGAGGAGCTTTAGAAAAGTGGTGTTGATGTCATGGAGCTTTTAGAAAAGGGGTGTTGATGTCATGGAGCTTTTAGAAAAGTGTGACAGGGCCCTCTGCTGTGTGCAGGAACGGCACGAACGGGCAGCGAGCTGTGGGATGGGTGTTTGGGATTGCTGTGGGATGGGGGTTTGGGTTTGCTGCAGGATGGATGCTCTCAGGTTTTTCTGTGGGATGGGTGTTTGGGATTGCTGTGGGATGGCTGTTTGGGATTGCTGTGGGATGGGTGTTTGGGTTTGCTGCAGGATGGATGCTCTCAGGCTGTCCTGTGGGATGGGTGTTTGGGTTTGCTGTGGGATGGATGCTCCCAGGTTTTGCTGTGGGATGGATGCTCTCAGGTTTTGCTGTGGCATGGATGCTCTCAGGTTCTGCTCTGGGATGGGTATTTGGGTTTGCTGTGGGATGGATGCTCTCAGGTTTTGCTGTGGGATGTGTATTTGGGATTGCTGTGGGATGTGTGTTTGGGATTGCTTCGGGATGAGTGTTTGGGTTTGCTGTGGGATGGGTATTTCGTATTTGCTGTGGGATGGGAGTTTGGGATTGCTGTGGGATGGGTGTTTGGGTTTGCTATGGGATGGATGCTCTCAGGCTGTGCTGTGGGATGGGTGTTTGGGTTTGCTATGGGATGGATGCTCTCAGGATGTGCTGTGGGATGGGTGTTTGGGATTGCTGCAGGATAGATGCTCTCAGGTTTTGCTGTGGGATGGGTATTTGGGTTTGCTGTGGGATGGATGCTCTCAGGCTTTGCTGCAGGATGGAAGCTCAGGCTTTGCTGCACTTTAAAACCTCTTTGGGCCTCACTTGCCACTCAGCTCGGGCTCCTAACGAGGTCAGGCACATCTCCCACCCTTGTCAGGCAGCACAGCCATCTGATTTCTGATGGCTGCTCTCATTTCTGTTTCATCAACTCGACTTGCAGCCCCTTGAAAGAGAGACAATGGCCTTTTCAATGTCTGGGGCTCTCAGCCTTCGCTGCTCTGTTTGAAGGGTGGGTGTCTCTTGACCTTGGAAATCCTCAGCGTCTGTAGTGCTGGAATGTGCCCTCAGAACACTCCAGAGCTCCTTTACATTACCTAAGGCAAATGTTTGTTTATGAAAGTTGATGTAAAACACTCGAGTGATCAAAAGAGGAATGAACAGGCACCTGGAATGCACAGTGAGGAGATCCCTCCTAAGAGGACATTTCTCCTGTCTCAGCTGCTCTTCTGAGTCCAGTTAGGGCAGAGGAAAACATTTCTCTCACCTAACTCTGAAATTTAAAAAAGAAAAGGATTCATGGGGAAAAAGCCAGTTAACATCCTGATTTGCTCTCCTGTGTGTGTGAAGTGCTGATGCACTGCTGCCAAAAGCTGTATCAGTCCATTGGACAGCTGGAGACAGGACTCTGGTGACCTTTCCTTGTTCCTTGGGGTACAGATCCATAGCCCAACAACCTGCTGTCCCCAGAAGGGACAGACCGACCTGCTTCTCCTTCCTTTCCCTCTGCTTCTGCCCTCTCATGTGCCCACAGCTGTCTCCCCTGCCTTTTTGGAATCTTCACTGAACTGGTTGAATTTGTCAGACAAGCAGAAAATTATCTGCATTTTCTTTATCAGCTTTTTCTTTTTCCTCCAATGGCTCATGTGGGCTCAGTGGAAGAGAAGCAGGAGAGCCATGCAGGGAGGAGGTGAAGAAAAGCAGTGGAGCTGGTACAGAAGTGTGGTGGGACACAAAGATGGGGGGTTTGAGCCTTGATGTTCTCCTAGAGAGGAGAGGAGACAGTGACTGCTGCAGCTGCCAGGAGTGAGCCCTCTGCTCCTTGTCACCTGTCACCCACCCAAGCTCTCCTGCTGCCACAACCACACATGGCACAACCAAAGCTGGAGGCAAGGCTGGGGTCTTTTGCTGCACCCTCACCAAGAAATCTGGGATTTTCCTTTCCCACTTTTTCTCACCCTGAGTGGTCCCCGAGTCAATGCACCAAAATTCTTCATCTTTCGTCCACCCTATTTCCCCCCAATAAGAGTAAATTTTAAAATGTGACCTAGAAAGTCCTTACCTGCCATTGAGCCTGCATAGCTTCTCACTTGGAATTGCCATTAAGCTTGTTAATAAGGCACTGCAGGTAATATTAACCTCAGAAGGCACAGGCACTTCTCACTACCATCAGTTAAACCAAACAAAATCTCCTTTCTCTCATCCAGCTGTTTGACAGGATTGGTGTTATTTATATTAGGCAGCTATCTAATGCTCAGACTGTGTACTGATAGCTTAAGCATGGGATATTTTTTCTCATCTGTTAATACCAAATGCATTGATTTGCTCACAGAAATACAGTTCTGATATTCCTGGCACTTCAGATTCAATCTGCATTAAAGAAAACTCTCCACACCATGACTGAACCGTGGTCTTGGAACAACACATGTGCAGAATTTTGAAATTATTCTCTCTAGTCTTGACAATTGCTAAGGCTGAGAATTGAAACTGGAAGATTAAAGGCAATCATGGTCTCTCTACTCCTGAATTCCTCCAGAATTCAGAATTTGCCCTAACTGCTGCAGTACCTACAGGCTTCAGGACAGAATCCCTGCAGCACCTGACAGGACAAGGAAAAGCTGCTTTCTGTGGCAAAACAACTGTTTCACAGAGAAACTCCAATTCAAGTTCTTTTCATTTGGTGCCCAAATGGAACTGAGGTGCTGAGATGGGTTTTGAGGCTTTCTTTTTATCAAACCTTCCAAATTAAGAGAAAATGGGTAGCTAAGAATGGTGGGCAGAGCAATAAACCAGCAAGATCAACATCTGGTTTAGTTTGCCCATCCAAGAAGTGAGCATAGGAAATTCAGGTGAATGTGATATTTAAATCATTGTCGTCCATCAGAAGGAAAGAACGGGGAAAGGTTTTGTGAAATAAATGACAAATGTCTTCAGGCTGACATTCTAGAAGACAGTGGATGCTTCAGAGTGTTCCTGCAGGTCAGGAGGTGGATTTTATAGATGCTTTTGAGAACAAGATTGGGACTGTTACCTTCCTAGGAGAAAGAAAGCAAGCAAAAAAGAAAGCAAAAAAGAGGCATCAAAAACATTTCCTGGCTGTTCTGACAAGCAAAACCACCCCAGAACAGAGACAGAAAGTCCTGCACAAAAGACATTGACTTGTCATTTACAGACAGGCTGTGAGCATGCAGTTATTTCCTTCCTCTGGATGGAAGTCATTGTGTTTTGGAGAGGAAAATGCAGTTGATATTTGAAATCAGAAAAATGATTGTTTTGAAAGAACAGCACAAGCCTTCTTAGCAGAAAATTACAGAGAAGTCCAATTCCTACACTGCTGATTGCAAGCTTTTGTATCCAGACTTATCAGAGACAGTTTGTACCCTGCCTTGGACAAAGATGGCATGTCAGCCTGCAGGTGCCAATGCAACTGAATGATTTAATAATAAAATACTATTAAAATAATGCATAACAATATAACATATAATAAATATTATTAGAAATACTCTAGAGAACAAAAATGTCAATCAAAGTACATTCTTAATAAAAATGCTTCTACTGTATTGACATTAAAAATCAAAGGATTCTTGCATGCTGTCACACGTAGCTTTAAATGAAACCTCATAATAAAATTAGAATTGAGTAGCAAAAGCTCCCATGCTCAACCCTCTCAGAAGCAGTTGCAGTGAGGGATTCAGATTAATGCAGTGTATTGTTACAAGATAATTTCCCCTGAAATAGAGTTCCTTAATTTATTTGGTTAAAAGGTGGTTAATACTCTGATGAATGAGAGCTTTTACATTTTCTGAAAATGCTACTGTTGTAATTTCAGACGTTGCCAATATAAATTTCCTGTACTTTTATAACACTGCTGATCACTTCCACTGCTGGTGTCTGTGGGAAGGAGTTCCACAGACACTGCCACTCTTCATAAGGGCAATTTAAAAATTGCTGTATTGCAATTATATTGAATATCCCTTTGGCTTTACATTAATATAAAAATTAATGAAATTCTTGATTTACCTTTCCATTATTGTTCATTATTGATGCCATTTAATCATCTCTACTGAGAGCAATAATTTAACTGTTAACTGTTCTTACCCTACACTAAGGAAAAATGCAAGGTTGTTTCATGGACCAGTTTTGCTTTAGGTTCATAAAAGTTTGAATGTAGCTGTGGAAATCTGGACAATCCCTCCCTTTCTGCCTTTCAATTTGGCAGGCCCAGGGAGGAACA